TGTGGCCAGCAACATTAGCACCATAGTTGGGGTTGTGGCCAGCAACATTAGCACCATAGTTGGGGCTGTAGCCAGCAACATTAGCACCATAGTTGGGGCTGTAGCCAGCAACATTAGCACCATAGTTGGGGCTGTAGCCAGCAACATTAGCACCATAGTTGGGGCTGTAGCCAGCAACATTAACAACATAGTTGGGGCTGTAGCCAGCAACATTAGCACCATAGTTGGGGTTGTGGCCAGCAACATTAGCACCATAGTTGGGGCTGTAGCCAGCAACATTAGCACCATAGTTGGGGTTGTAGCCAGCAACATTAGCACCATAGTTGGGGTTGTAGCCAGCAACATTAGCACCATAGTTGGGGCTGTAGCCAGCAACATTAGCACCATAGTTGGGGTTGTAGCCAGCAACATTAGCACCATAGTTGGGGCTGTAGCCAGCAACATTAGCACCATAGTTGGGGCTGTAGCCAGCAACATTAGCACCATAGTTGGGGTTGTAGCCAGCAACATTAGCACCATAGTTGGGGCTGTAGCCAGCAACATTAGCACCATAGTTGGGGTTGTAGCCAGCAACATTAGCACCATAGTTGGGGCTGTAGCCAGCAACATTAGCACCATAGTTGGGGTTGCAGCCAGCAACATTAGCACCATAGTTTTGGTTGTAGCCAGCAACATTAGCACCATAGTTGGGGTTGTAGCCAGCAACATTAGCACCATAGTTGGGGTTGTAGCCAGCAACATTAGCACCATAGTTGGGGCTGTAGCCAGCAACATTAGCACCATAGTTGGGGTTGTAGCCAGCAACATTAGCACCATAGTTGGGGTTGTAGCCAGCAACATTAGCACCATAGTTGGGGCTGTAGCCAGCAACATTAGCACCATAGTTGGGGCTGTAGCCAGCAACATTAACAACATAGTTGGGGCTGTAGCCAGCAACATTAGCACCATAGTTGGGGCAGTAACCAGCAACATTAACAACATAGTTGGGGCTGTAGCCAGCAACATTATTTAGTCTATCTTTGCGGTTCTTATTTAGCGGAAGTGTGGAAGAGTCGAGGCTTTTGGTAATAAAACTGGATACACGAGCAGTGTGCTACTTCCCTATTCTGTATAATTACTAAGTGAGAGCAAAAACAAGATGTTTGCCTGTTACATTCCAACACGCAGGATAAGGGTCATGCAAGACGTTGTAATCTGTCAGCCTCAGTTGGGAGACTTCCATAGATCAGTGAGAATATCGTCAATCATTCCAGTAAACATGACTCACGAAATCGTAATGACACGATTGCAAACAAACCATACCACGGGCGGGATTTGAACCCGCGGTCAGTCTCTCTCAAAACTCCAGACCGTCGCGTGGCTAAGGCGACGGTCCTGAGTTTTGAGACTGACCGCGGGTTCAAATCCCGCCCGTGGTATGGTTTATTCCAGTCAAGCTTCATCAGTTCGGCAGCTTCAGAGGTTTCCTTCCAGCATAGGTGGAGTTATTACCACTTGGGAATTACCATTTCTCCGGATAGTCTATTCCGTACACAGGAAATGAAAATTAAGGTATCTTAATTATCTCAAAGCAGGGGTATGGAGTCGACGTGGTCAGGTTCAAGGAGAGGATAAGTTGGGGGTTGGGCCCGTACGGAGGTGATGGTGGGGTAGCCAGATTAAAAACAAAAAAGACCACGAAAATTAGAAAAACAGGATCTGGAAGTAGAAAAAGTCTGGTAACTCATCAGAGGTATATATCATCATTGGAGGGGGGGGGGGTGCGATTGTGTGGGTGTTGATCGTTGAGCGTGAGTCATTGTCTGAGATGATGGGGGGGGGGGGACTGTTGGGAGGCTGGAGATGGTGAAAGTTAACCTTCCACACCTTCACACCCACAACACTCCTTGCTCACATTCCTCTCTATTCTCTCCTCCACCATTTCCTCTCTTCCATTTCCCTGTCTTTTCCTTCTGCCCCTTTTCATTTTTCCCCCTCCCATGTCTCTTCCTTTTATACTCATTCCTAACTCTTCACCATCTTCCTCTCCAGTCTTGCCTAATCCCGCACCACTTTCTCACTGTTCTAATTATAATATCTTTTTTTCTACAAGTACATGTACAAGGTATACAGTCCTAGCTGACATCAGTGACATACTACTATATAGAAAACAGCTTGTTATGCAGAGCATTTCGGACAAATTAGGTAAATTTTGTCCCAGGATGCGACCCACACCAGTCGACTAACGCCCAGGTACCCACTTTACTGATGGGTGAACATAGACAACCGGTGTAAGGAAATACGCCTAATGTTTCTACCCTTGCCGGGAATCGAACCGGTACTTCAACGTGTGAAGCGAGAGCTTTTTGCTACGGGGCCACCTCTCGTCACCTTGCCGTCTTGCCGTCACCTTTCCCTACTCGTCTATTTTCTCGCTGTTACCTTAATTCTAAAACATAACTCAGTCTTTTTCTATATAACTTCACTTTTAAACCTTTCTATAAAAGTGGAATTATCCGTAATGCTGCATTACCAGGTTATCAGTAATGCTGCACTGCCAGGTTATCAGTAATGCTGCACTGCCAGGTTATCAGCAATGCTGCACTGCCAGGTTATCAGTAATGCTGCACTGCCAGGTTATCCGTAATGCTGCACTGCCAGGTTATCAGTAATGCTGCACTGCCAGGTTATCAGTAATGCTGCACTGCCAGGTTATCAGTAATGCTGCATTACCAGGTTATCAGTAATGCTGCACTGCCAGGTTATCAGTAATGCTGCACTGCCAGGTTATCAGCAATGCTGCACTGCCAGGTTATCAGCAATGCTGCACTGCCAGGTTATCAGCAATGCTGCACTGCCAGGTTATCAGCAATGCTGCACTGCCAGGTTATCAGCAATGCTGCACTGCCAGGTTATCAGCAATGCTGCACTGCCAGGTTACCACTAATGCTGCACTGCCAGGTTATCAGTAATGTTGCACTGCCAGGTTATCAGTAATGCTGCACTGCCAGGTTATCACAAATGCTGCACTGTCAGGTTAGCACTAATGCTGCACTGCCAGGTTATCAGTAATGCTCTACTACCAGCTTATCGGTAATGCTGCACTGCCAGGTTATCAGAAATGCTGCACTACCAGGTTATCAGTAATGCTGCACTGCCAGGTTATCAGTAATGCTGCACTGTCAGGTTATCAGTAATACTGCACTGCCAGGTTATCACTAATGCTGCACTGCAGGTTATCAATAATGCTGCACTGCCAGGTTATCGGTGGTGCCGCATTGCCAGGTTATCGGTGGTGCCGCACTGCCAGGTTATCGGTGGTGTTGCACTGCCTGGTTATCGGTGGTGCTGCACTGCCTGGTTATCGGTGGTGCTGCACTACCTGGTTGTCGGTGGTGCCGCACTGCCTGGTTGTCGGTGGTGCCGCACTGCCTGGTTGTCGGTGGTGCCGCACTGCCTGGTTGTCGGTGGTGCTGCACTGGTTATCAGTTGTTGCCACCCAGCCTGGTTCTCGGTGCCACACTGCCTGGTTGTCGGTGCCGCTGCACTGCCTGGTTGTCGGTACCTCTGCACTGCCTGGTTGTCAGTAACGCCTCACTGCCTGGTTGTCGGTAACGCCGCACTGCCTGGCTATCGGTGGTGCCGCACTGCCTGGCTATCGGTGGTGCCGCACTGCCTGGTTGTCGGTGGTGCTGCACTGCCTGGTTGTCGGTGGTGCCGCACTGCCTGGTTGTCGGTGGTGCCGCACTGCCTGGTTGTCGGTGGTGCCGCACTGCCTGGTTGTCGGTGGTGCCGCACTGCCTGGTTGTCGGTGGTGCCGCACTGCCTGGTTGTCGGTGGTGCCGCACTGCCTGGTTGTCGGTGGTTGCCGCACTGCCTGGTTGTCGGTGGTGCCGCACTCCCTGGTTGTCGGTGGTGCCGCACTGCCTGGTTGTCGGTGGTGCCGCACTGCCTGGTTGTCGGTGGTGCCGCACTGCCTGGTTGTCGGTGGTGCCGCACTGCCTGGTTGTCGGTGGTGCCGCACTGCCTGGTTGTCGGTGGTGCCGCACTGCCTGGTTGTCGGTGGTGCCGCACTGCCTGGTTGTCGGTGGTGCCGCACTGCCTGGTTGTCGGTGGTGCCGCACTGCCTGGTTGTCGGTGGTGCCGCACTGCCTGGTTGTCGGTGGTGCCGCACTGCCTGGTTGTCGGTGGTGCCGCACTGCCTGGTTGTCGGTGGTGCCGCACTGCCTGGTTGTCGGTGGTGCCGCACTGCCTGGTTGCCGGTGGTGCCGCACTGCCTGGTTGCCGGTGGTGCCGCACTGCCTGGTTGCCGGTGGTGCCGCACTGCCTGGTTGCCGGTGGTGCCGCACTGCCTGGTTGCCGGTGGTGCCGCACTGCCTGGTTGCCGGTGGTGCCGCACTGCCAGTTTTTCAGTGGTGCTGCACTGCCAGGTTATCTCAGTATTAAGGACCTTAAGGTTAATGTTGAGCAGACAGTGTGCCTCTGCATTATGGTAAAACATTGTGTGGTAAGGAGTCCACAAGGACACCTTGAAGCGTCGCTCTACTTTGTCACTGAGTGTCTCTTATTTCTCAGTGTATGTTAGCCAGTGACTTGCATCTTGGCAGCCTAGTGTCTGTGTGCTTGTTCGTCCACCTCACCCTTGACTCCCGTGACGGTGTCTTGATCCAAAGAATCGGTGTCTCCTCCGTTCCCCAAGGTGCTGTATGACCCCTATGGGTTTATTGCTCTCCTCGTGAAGTAATTCGCGTGTTCCACTATTTCTTAAACTTGATAATAAACAATGAATATTATTTGTAGTTTATTGGCAGTAAGGTTCATGTTTGTCTTAGTCACATCATTATGATAAAATATAACTTTAGATGTACAACTTAATCTGTTTTAATTTACATAATATACATCAAGGTAAATAACCTCAACAGGAAAGATGTATTTCCGTTGTGTACATATAAGATAGTGCGTAATCCAAGTAAACCATTAAATTATATATGTATTAAAGTGTGTTCTTAATTATACTAAAGGAACGGCAGGATCCGGTGGTGATAATGGAAAGATGTGAATTATGAGGTGGACTAACTGCTGGAGATGCTTAGTTGGTCTTTCCTGCTGTATACCCGTCATATACCAGTTCTAAAAATAATCAGTGACCCCTGCCACCCTGTTGAGGAAGGCAAGGTGAACGTGTGCGCGGTGGTGACCTTAGCCACGAGAGGATGGCTCATTCCCAAGAAGATATCCAGAACAACAACTTCCAGGTAGAGCCGGACCCTCTCACCACCTCACCCACCGCCACACGCATCAACATCAACCAACCGGTAACATCTACAGCAGTGTTTACCAGCTCCTCGGTCCTGGCACAGATAGTAGCCAGGAATCTGGATAACCAGACAGATGACACGGCGCCGAATAGTCTAGGCAGCATTACGTATAACGATGAGTATTTGGAAGACCCGCTACCAGATCTAACTCTTGAAAACCTGAGAATTCCTGAAGAATATGGAGACCCTTCGCTCGGGTATGAGTTCATCAACCCAGTTGAGTCCGAGAGTCGCCTGGATAACTCTGCCGCCCTCCTCAAACAACTGGAGGGGCTGGGCGTGAGGGTCAAAGAGGACTATATATCCCTAGACTTTGACTTGACTTCTCGCAGCGCCAGCGTCAGTAGTGTGTCTGATCCAGGGAGTGCTGGAGAGGATCACGACCTGCCTTCCCTGAGTCACCTTGAATCCCCACGTTATCGAAATCGCGGAGCCTTGTCTGGCCAATCAGTTTTTATCTCCTCCCGCCAGAGAGAACACGTATGTTTGGAAAAGTTGGACCGATTGCAAGAAGACGATCACGATGAAGTGTTCGCGGCAATAGAAGAATTAGACCACGAAGTTGCAGAGGCAGAAATCCTACCCTCTGGGGGTGTTAAGGTAACCTATGAAAATTACAAGAAGGAGTATCGTCCCAGGATCAGTCCTCATCACAATTTTTTAAAATTCCTGGAGACGGTGCACAGCGGGGCAGTGACGGAGGAAGTAGCAGATGTGAGCCCTGAGGCTTTGTCTGAACCCTTGAACACTTTTGAAGCTCGCTACAGGCGAGCACTTCTAGCCTTCCAGAGAGGAGTTTTAAGATCAGACCTCAGAGTACGGAACCTCTCAACATTACCCAGCAAGTATGCTCAAAAGCTACGCAAATTTTTAGGTAAGCATAAAGTCGATTTTAATTAGGTAATGTAAGTTAGGGGAAGAATCCAAATATTCCTTGTCCATTATTGCTTATACAGTATACAGTGGACCCCCGGTTAGCGATATTTTTTCACTCCGTAAGTATGTTCAGGTGCCAGTACTGACCGAATTTATTCCCATAAGGAATATTGTGAAGTAGATTAGTCCATTTCAGACCCCCAAACATACACGTACAAACGCACTTACATAATTGGTCGCATTCGGAGGTAATCGTTATGCGGGGGTCCACTGTACTATATTGTTAGTTTGTATTGTCATTATTTTGATGAAAGGTTGATCGTGATGTCGACATAAATTAATTTGTTGAAAGCTGTCACTCGGATTGCATGGACCACACCCATGCCTTTTACAACTCGATCCACTATCCACTGTCACCCCCAACCTGTCTCTGACCCACAACACATAACCATGATCTGGGCAGCCACTGCTCTCCCCCTGACCCTCCTCTCAGGATGTATATTAGTGAATGAATCCACCTAAGTATAACCTTAATTTAATCATGGTACTACTGGTCTCAGCCTTGGTTTATAGTATTAGCAGTCACACTATTCTTGCGAATAGTCAAGGTACTGGAGTTTTCACATTTCCTCTTATTTTTTCTGATAAGGTTTTCATTCTTTACAAACATGTGGTTGAAACTGCATGTTGAGCATAGATGCAAAATGTATGGAGAAAATGCTAAACTATAGAATAATAAATATTATGTTTGTGATAGTGACTTGGTCGCTGTTGAGCTTTGCAGTCAGCTGAAACTGTGGCATTAAGCTCTCAATTCATTAATAGTAAACATAATTAACCAGTGCCTTGCCAGGCTTACCTTGACCATCCATGGGTATTTATCAGCATTGCCATAATATGGCAGGGAACTATAATAGCCATGATAATTATCTAAAAATGTAGGCAAGTCATAGGCCTTTAACTGAAAGCTATACTGATCACCTGAGACCTATTTTTCTCATTGTATTAAATATAAGATAATGGGTGACAATGCCTGCACTCTAAAGGAGGGGTTCGGGATATTATCGATTTGGAGGGATATGTTCTGTCTCTTTGTACGTATATGCTTCTAAACTGTTGTGTTCTGAGCACCTCTGCAAAAACAGTGATTATGTGTGAGTGAGGTGAAAGTGTTGAATGATGAAAGTATTTTCTTTTTTGGGATTTTCTTTCTTTTTGGGTTACCCTGCCTCAGTGGGAGACAGGTGACTTGTTAAATATAAATAAATAAATATATATATATATATATATATATAATATATATATATATATATATATATATATATATATATATATATATATATATATACACACACACACACACACACACACACACACACACACACACACACACACACACACACACATACAGTGGACCCTCGCCTAACGATCAGCTCCTAACTCGACCAATTATGTAAGTGTATTTTTGTAAGTGCTTTTGTAGGTGTATTTTTCGGGGTCTGAAACGGACTAATCTAATTCACAGTATTTCTTATGGGAACAAATTTGGTCTATAACAGCACCCAAACAGATTTCTGGATTGAAATAATATCATTAGGCGGGGGTCCTCTGTATATATAAGCAACTATTGGCAGAAAGGTGGACTCATGCAAGTATGAGTAGTGGGGTGGGGGGTTCAAGAGGGTTGGAATAGTTTTAAAAATGTAGTATTAGAATGTGGGGTAGAAGTTTGTGGTTATATGAGAGTGGGTGCAGGAGGAATGAGGAGTGATTGGTGGAATGATGAAGTAAAGGGTGTGATAAAAGAGAAGTTAGCTTATGGGAGGTTTTTACAAAGCAGAAGTGTTATAAGAAGAGTAGAGTACATGGAGAGTAAAAGAAAGGTGAAGAGAGTGATGAGAGAGTGCAAAAGGAGAGCAGATGATAGTGGGAGAGGCACTGTTAAGAAATTTTAATGAAAATAAGAAAAAATTTTGGAGTGAGTTGAACAAGTTAAGAAAACCTAGAGAACGAATGGATTTGTCAGTTAGAAACCGAGGAGGGGAGTTAGTAGATGGGGAGATGGAGGTTTTGGGTAGATGGCAAGAATATTTTGAGGAACTTTTAAATGTCGACGAAGAAAGGGAAGCGGTAATTTCATGCACTGGCCAGATAGGTATACCATCTTTTAGGAGTGAAGAACAGGATGTGAGTGTAGGGGAGGTGCGTGAGGCATTATGTAGAATTAAAGGGGGTAAAGGAGCTGGAACCGATGGGATCATGACAGAAATGTTAAAAGCAGGGGAGGATATAGTGTTGGAGTGGTTGGTACTTTTGTTTAATAAATGTATGAAAGAGGGGAAGGTACCTAGGGATTGGCGGAGAGCATGTATAATCCCTTTATATAAAGGGAAGGGGGACAAAAGAGATTGTAAAAATTATAGAAGAATAAGTTTACTGAGTATACCAGGAAAAGTGTACGGTAGGGTTATAATTGAAAGAATTAGAGGTAAGACAGAACATAGGATTGAGGATGAGCAAGGAAGTTTCAGAGTGGGTAGGGGATGTGTAGATCAAGTGTTTACATTGAGGCATATATGTGAATAGTATTTAGATAAAGGTAGGGAGTTTTTATTGCATTTATGGATTTAGAAAATGCATATGATGAGTGGATAGGGGAGCAATGTGGCAGATGTTGCAAGTACATGTATGTGGAATAGGTGGTAAGTTACTAAATGCTGTAAAGAGTTTTTGAGGATAGTGAGGCTCAGATTAGGGTGTGTAGAAGAGAGGGAGACTACTTCCCAGTAAAAGTAGGTCTTAGACAGGGATGTGTAATGTCACCATGGTTGTTTAATATATTTATTGATGGGGTTGTAAAAGAAGTAAATGCTAGGGTGTTCGGGAGAGGGGTGGGATTAAATTATGGGAAATCAAATACAAAATGGGAATTAACACAGTTGTTTTTTGCTGATGATACTGTGCTTAAGGGAGATTCTAAAGAAAAATTGCAAAGGTTAGTAGATGAGTTTGGGAGTGTGTGTAAAGGTAGAAAGTTGAAAGTGAACATAGAAGAGAGTAAGGTGATGAGGGTATCAAATGATTTAGATAAAGAAAAATTGGATATCAAATTGAGGAGGAGTAGTATGGAAGAAGTGATTGTTTTCAGATATTTGGGAGTTGACGTGTCGGCGGATGGATTTTTGAAGGATGAGGTTAATCATAGAATTGATGAGGGGAAAAAAGGCTAGTGGTGCGTTGAGGTATATTTGGAGACAAAAAACGTTGTCTTTGGAGGCAAAGAAGGGAATGTATGAATGTATAGTAGTACCAACACTCTTATGTGAGTGTGAAGCTTGGGTTGTGAATGCAGCAGCGAGGAGGCGGTTGGAGGCAGTGGAGATGTCCTGTCTAAGGGCAATGTGTGGTGTAAATATTATGCAGAAAATTAGGAGTGTGGAAATAAGGAGAAGGTGTGGAGTTAACCCTTTGGGGGTTTCGGACATACTAGTACGTCTTACGACCCAGGGTTTTTGGTGTACTAGTATGCCTAAATTCTAGCGCCCTCAAATCTAGTGAGAGAAAGCTGGTAGGCCTACATATGTAAGAATGGGTCTATGTGGTCAGTGTGCGCAGTATAAAAAAAATCCAGCAGCACACAGTGCGTAATGAGAAAAAAAAAACTTTGCGTTTTTGGATTAAAACAGTAGCTTTGCACTGTATTTTTGTATGGTATTTATTCTTGTATTCTAGTTTTCTTGGTCTCATTTTATCGAATGGAAGACATATTACAGAAATTGACATGATTTTGACTGGTTTTACAATGAAAAGTACCTTGAAATCGAGCTCAAAGTAGCAGAAATGTTCGATTTTTACCAAAGTTCAAAAGTAAACAAATCATGCCAAGCGTCCAATACACATCAACTGGTGAGTCTAATATTCTTTCACAAGTGCGCTGATATTATTTATAACATTTCTACACTAATGCAGTAGTCTGCATAACAATAAATCTTATTTTTTTTTTTGTAAGAATAAAAATTCAAAGTGGAAAGCTGAAGAAATATAAGAGGGGCCTGGGGATGTGACTAAGGAACAGAGAACTTATTTTAGTGCCAGGAAAGTCTTTCTTGCTTATTCTGGACCCTATTCGGAAATTGGCATCTTTTGAAATGTGTCAAATTGGCAAAATTGCTAAATTCTGACCACTTTATTGCATAGTTGAAATCGGTAAATGGGTGGTTTCTTGTACTCATTCAATAGAAAAAATGGAGTTTTAGCAAAATAGTTATGATTTTTGTTGACTAGTGCACTGGAATTGGCCAAAAATAGGGCTCAAAGTGGGCAAAATCGCCGATGCGTAAACATCGTCGAGACCACTAAATTCGCGAGAGCATAATTCAGTAAGTTTTCCATCAAATTTCATACTTTTGGTGTTGTTATGATCGGGAAAAGATTTTTTTTTTTTTTTTTTTTTTTTTTATATAATTTTGCCGACCCTGAGAACAAGTCTCTGAGAGGACCTGTCGACCCCAAAGGGTTAATAAAAGTATTAGTCAAGAGGGCTGAAGAGGGGTTGTTGAGGTGGTTTGGTCATTTAGAGAGAATGGATCAAAGTAGAATGACATGAAGAGCGTATAAATCTGTAGGGGAAGGAAGGCAGGGTAGGGGTCGTCCTCGAAAAGGTTGGAGGGAGGGGGTAAAGGAGGTTTTGTGGGCGAGGGGCCTGGACTTCCAGCAAGCGTGCGTGAGCATGTTAGATAGGAGTGAATGGAGACGAATGGTATTTGGGACCTGATGATCTGTTGGAATGTGAGAAGGGTAATATTTAGTGAAGGGATTCAGGGAAACCGGTTATTTTTATATAGCCGGACTTGAGTCCTGGAAATGGGAAGTACAATGCCTGCACTCTAAAGGAGGGGTTCAGGATATAGGCAGTTTGGAATGATATGTTGTGTATCTTTATAGGTATATGCTTCTAAGCTGTTGTGTTCTGAGCACCTCTGCAAAAACAGTGATTAT